ATGGACTTGGAACATAAAATCATTCTAGAAGAAAAAAGTTTATATATTACTGCTACATTAACATGATCTAAACTTAGTGCACCCGCTGATTTCTTCTTCATCACCTGCTTCACTTGAAGAAGTTACTTCTGTGATCCCACTAGAACTTGAGCAAGATGAAGAAGATGACACAGGACTTTGATTATTATTAGTCTGAGGTGCATGAACCATTTCAGCATTGTTAACTCTGATGACTTCCTCATCAGTCTTACAACTTCTTTTCTTCGAAAATATTCGACACAGAACCCAATTTTCTTTCTGGTTTAAAGCGTTCTGTAGAAAATCACAAGCAGATTCAAATGGTGTTTCTTGATTATTGGGTTTGTGGCATGCACAACAAGGAAGTACTTTATGGTAAACTCACCTCGGCTGTGTTGATGGAGTCTGTAGTTTCCGCATTGACAAGGCAATACTCATGCATGACCCAATCAGTTTTACAACCACTTGGAGCCTTTCCTCTGTAGAAAACAAGAGTCTTTTTCTTCCCCACGATATGGTTCCTCCTTGAAGATACAATCTTTTTATCAGTGCCGGTCGCTTTCCAGTAACCAGAACTTGTCACCCTGTTGGCTCTGCTCCCATTCCTGTATTTTGATTCCTTGTTGCTGAAGAAATATCTCTCTTGCTCCAAATCACCTACATATATATATTAGTCTGTTATTATAAATGGAAAACTACATACTTAAGCACATATTACATAATTATTTTCAGCTAACCTGGCAAATCCCAAGGATCATACATGCAAACATTGACCTCAGGAATTATTGAAGCAGGCAGAGGGCATGAAAAGACTTTGCATCTTAGGTACTGAAAGACCAGCTCTTCATCTGTAGGCTGGAAACGAAAACCAGGAGGCAATCTGATCATCCCATTTCTAACAAAGTTGAACTTGTCCATTGTTGAAAAACAAAAACAAAAACAAAAATGAAAGCCTTTTTCTTGATTCTTATTGGCCTCTGTCAACTGAGATGTAGAAATGCCAAGCAACCATGTCAAGTATTTATAGTCCAAGAGAAAGAATTTTGAGAGAGAGTATCTTTTGAGTGGTTGTGCAAGAAAAAGAAAAAGAAAATTGATTCCAAAATAGCTAGCGGCGGTGTGAATATAGAATGGGACAACAATCACTGGATTAATACTTTTTCATGTTTGACAATTAAAAAAATAAAAAGCTTCTTTCACTTACTTAAAGATCCTTTTCTTGTTTTCTACATGTAATAATCTCTGTAATTTGTGATGCAAATTAAATTCTTAGATAAATCTAAGTCGTTGTTTTGGTTGGCATCACATGTGAAAGAAAGAAAGACATGTTAACAAGCAACCAAAGAGCATTATTGGGGCTTATTAGTAATCATCAGAGTTTTTAGAAGGTAAGTTCACATTTTTTAAAATGGATTGGTGAAGATTTTCTTGTTGAGATGAAGTCATCCGATGTCATGCTTACTAATCAGATGGGAAACACACATAATTAAGTTAATTATTTACCTCAAGTAATTATCACAAGGAAACACACATATATGCTATATAATTGATCAATTGGTCCAATAATGCTATGTAACTTATTTTTGTAGTCAACTTCCTCCCAAATCCTTAATATTAATCCCTTGATCACTATTATGATGAGTTTTACCCATCATACACATGCCCTAATTTTTTGTTTCACAAACAAGAAAACAAAATTACGGGTCTATTTGGAAGTTCTTATGTAGGAAGTACATATGCTCATAAGCCCCTTTTACTGGAAGCGGTTTTGTTAGAAGCACAACAAAATGTTCATTAAAAAACCTAGTGTTTCATGAAGAAAGCAATTGATAGATTCTTCTTTATAAAACGCTTTATTCAAAAGTGTGTGGTAAATGCTTTTAACCATTTTAGAAGCACACGAAGGATAATAAACAAATCCCTAGGATTCAACATGCAATCGTGTAATGTACTAATATGGCTGTTGAGTAATTGTCTCTAAAAGCAAACTTCCATGGACTTTATGAAATAATAACTCAGCTACGTTCACCCTGATACAGGGAACTCCAAAATCATGCACAGTGTAAGCCGATATCTTGATTCGTCCTCAGATGCCCTAGTGATTTAAGTTGCTTTTGGTTGTTCTTCCAAATAATTTTTCTTTTTCTTTTTCTTTTTCTTTAGTGGTTTTGGATTAATTAGTTTAACTACTACATACTTTTCTTTTGAATTATGGATGGCTGACACATAAAGGCACCAAAGATTTTGGTTCCTTTTTCTCTCTGAATAATTGTTTGAATGAAAGAGTCCCAAAAAAGCCCCTGCGTTTCTAAAAAGCTAAGCTACCTAAATCCTTAGAGAGCTAGTCAACTCAGATTGGTACTTTCCTTCATTGCGAAGATGTAGCTTTAATTCCCCCTTTCCATGCATGCAAATGTTGGATTTAGAGATCTTCTGCATTCTAATTTGAAAAGCACCCAATTTGTTTAAAAAAAACATGCTCTCTGGCCAATTGCTTGAGACACAGCAACAAAAGCTAACATGCTTGTTTTCTTGTGTTATATATATATAATCTTTGTTGGTCATGTCTTATGGCTTCAAACATGGCCCTCAATGCTGCTGCTTTCTCTTTCCATTGAATCTAAAGCGATTCTTTCATTTGAATAATTGGTTTAATTCAGTTAGTTTTGTGTTCTTTAGAGGGCATATTATTATTGGACTAAAGAAAAGACGTTTATGGTGGTGTGTATAAATGGGCATATCATGCATGTGTTTTTAGTATCAAAAAGTTTGAGAATGGAGGAAAGGGAACCAATGCTTAATGCATAAGAAAGTCTTTCAAAATTTGCTCTCTTTTCAAAACACTTTGCCTAAATCTCTACTTTAAACAATTTTTATGGTTGAATTACCAGGGATGTCAAACCATTTCCATAAGGTTTACTTAAAATGCTTTCATATATAATTATTTGCATATTCAATGAATCTTGTAATATCAAAATTATATCACCTATTCATATCTAACGAGTAACTTTTCAATGCGATCGTAACATCACCATGTGAGGTGGTATAACAATTCACACATATTATAACACGTGTATATTTATTAATAATACGTTCTAAAGTAAAAAACATTGTCGCCTACTCATACACATACACGTGGATTAATAATACTCACGAGAAGGTGTTACAGTCACATGATCACACACACAAAATTCCCTATTGGGCCGATACTATCTTCTTATTGGTCTCAATACACATCTTCTTATTTGGGCCTAGAAAACCAAAAGGTTCAAGTTAAAATAACGGGCTCCAAATCCAGTTTTCTTCTAAGATGTTGCCCAACAATTTTAGTCCCTCCTATTTGTTGTTCGGCGTCTTTCTGAGGCTTTGGTAGTTTTAGGGTTTTGCAGAGCGTGAGACGGTGAGAGTGTTTACAAAGCTGAAGAATTTAGAGGGTTTTAGCGGATAGCGAGCACAAACTGCCATGGATCCTTCATCAATGAACAACCCTGAGCTCCTTCAGTTCATCAACGTAAGTTCCTGTTCTTCTTCTCCCCTGTCTAATTCACTAGAAATCTCATGAGAAAGAACAGAAAGTTATTTGCTTTCGATTGGAGCGGCTCATAACTCTGAATTTATTGGCAGGGTTTCTATTTTTATTTTTAAATCTATATGTTTAGTATTGCATATTACATAGTCCATATCGTTGAGTATGTCTGCATATTCCATTGAAAGCTGGAATTTTGATCCCCTGCTGCTTCAAGCTTTCGTTTTTCTGAATTTGGTTCTGACACCTACTTTTGTTTTCGATTATTAGTTTTCCCAAATAATCTTAAGATTTTATTTGAGCCCTCAATTTACTTATGCATCAGAAATTGGCAGTTTTGTGGTTGCTTATACGTTATCATACTAAGTTATTTAAGAAATGTAAGAGTGAAAATCTTCATCTTTCAGTGTGTAGTTCAAGACTTCAATTCTTTAGAGTGGCCACTTTGTTCACATTGTTCAACATTGTCCAAACCCTAAAATTGTCTCTCAATTTCCCTTCAAGATCTCTATTTTATGGCTTAACATTGCGTTTTAGTGTTTTACTCCTTAATTCCAAATTGATGTTGGTACTAGTTGTGGGGAAAAAGAGGAACAATAAAAGAATGATATGAAGATGTTGGCTATTTGAGATGTTGCCTGTATAGTCTTAAACTAAGTTGAAAAGTTTTTGTACTTGATTGTTTGCAAATTCACTAATTTCTAGCGATATGCTCTTGTAGTTTTGTCTAACAACATAATGTTTTTCATGTCTTGCAAAACCAATTATTGTGTGATTATCACTATGTTATTGCTGTTGCTGCTGCTAGTTATGTTACATGTTCTGCCAATATGTTATGCTATTGATGGCTTCTCTTTCTGAAACAATCTTGCTCTTGCTGCGCAGCAAGAGAAGGAAAGAGCAATGGTGAATGAGATGGTGGGAAAGCTTACAAATGTATGTTGGGACAAGTGCATCACTGGTACGCCCGGGAGCAAGTTCAGTTCCAGTGAATCAGCTTGCCTGGCGAACTGTGCCCGCCGTTATTTGGATATGAGTATGATTATTATGAAGCGTTTTCAGAACATGCAATGAAGGTCCGGAGTTTGACATACTTTCTCAATTCCAAGATGTGGTTCATTTTTGCGTCTGGAATCAATTATATACCAGTTGAATATGTTCTGTAATTTTGGAAACAGATTGTTCCCCCTTTCTTCAAACTATTGTATTTCAGCACTCTTACTTATCAATTTCATTTTTGGATGTTTCATCTTGTGATTAATTTGATGAATGAATTTTTACCAACAGAAACAAAGGTGATGAATAAATTGCATGTTGCAGCATAGGGCTATAACTTGGTGCTCGAGGGTTGAGAATGAATTGCATTTTAGTGCCAGAAAAAGCCTTGCTTAGGCGATAGGCAAATGACAAGGGTAAAACAAATCTCGAACATAGGCAATCAATCACTTCCACATTCTATACCATCAAAATGAGGTGGTTAAATTACAGATGCGGAAAAAAGAAAAAGGACGATAAACTCATAAATCAAGATGGCACACATTGGAAACAATCAACTGCCTGAGAGTCGTTCTTTCGAATTACACACTTATATTACAAGCAATATGGCACAGCTTAACGACATTAAAGATCGACAGCCTTCACGTTTATCAAGTATTTATGAACTTATCTGAGATTGTTCAGTCTGTGTAGTAAAGTTGCCACTGATCCCATCAGTTACCCGTCTTGAGTCCCCAACTCCCGCTGCCATAGCAAGAACTTCAGGTGATATATCTAAACTTCCACTCCTCCTTCCCCAGCTAGAACGCCTAGGATGTGAGGCAACATGTCTCTCTGTGCTCTCTGTTGGAAGGGTCCCACTTAAATCCTGGGACGCATCAGCCTCACTCGATCGAGGGTCCTTGTTTACTCCATCATCATTGCTATAATCACCCAACTCTCCTGAAGCCTCATTCCATAATGGTTTCCTCCCCATCTCTATGTCACTCATGGCTTTCCCCATGACAGGATTAACAAAATTGGCGCCAATTGGTGTAGGAAGAACTGGAGGATCTTTTGGAACTTTTTCCCTGAAATTGTTCTTGGATGGAGGAATTTTAGTGCAGAATATCTCCATGAAGTTCTCAATTGTCCCTCTGTTGAATGGGTTGTCTCGTCCATCATACCGGTATCTAAAATTTTCATAAGTAGACTGCCAAAGCACAACAAAACAGAACTCTTAACATTACAAGCTGAATAAACCCAAATTTGAAAAGTTTAAGTGGAATTATGGATATAAATATCACCACACACAGCACACCAGTTAATGGTTTTGTTTGACTCTTGAGGCAGATGCCCCCTTGGTTTCTTGTTAAATGAGGACTATGCAGTGTGCTCTATTTGGTGATCATACCATAACAGGGAGATCAGGATGCCCAAGAGTTTCTTACCTGGTTTGTACTGATGAGATATGAGTGGAACATAGTAAGGCCACCAACAAACCAGAAGGCAATGAAACTGTAAATTATGAGCGCAATGGAGGCAGGAGTCTTAATTAGTGCTTTCCAAATCGATATATCCTCACTCTGCATGATCCTCACGACGTAGACCCAGCAAAACCCTTGTACATATACACAAAGAAGAGTTGCAGAGAAGACAAACATGAAGAAGAACCTGTAGTTTCGCTGCACCCAGAACCAAAGGAAGTTTATTACATGCATAAACCTGAGCAATTTGTTTTAAGCTTTTGTGATTATTCTAATCAATTATGAATTAGTCATCCAAGCAACCGAGCTCTCCCAACAAATAAAGAAGACGTAAATAAAAATGCAGCAAAGTTAGGCCCTTAAAGCACTGTTCTTGGGGAGCTACTAGTTGGGAGTAAGCCTAATAATAGTGAATCCTTACCAATCCAATGCACTGGCCAACCCAAGGGCAGTGATGGTCAAATCGCTGCACACAGTTATTGCATATGGAGCAGTGAGAACAACGAGGAGGTCTGTAAAGCATGCAGGTGTCACAGTACTTGATCTTCACAGTTATACCATTGATAACTACTTCCTTCATTCGTGGAAAACGCGACTGTTGTGTTTCATTAGACCCACCCTCTATGCTCGCATCATAATCTTCTGACTCTGGAGGGTGAACATTACGAGGTACTATACCAGGATCTCTTCCTGAGGTTAGTAGAAGAAGAACCAAAGCCTGAGAACAAAATATACATGCTTCTATTAATCAGGATAGAGTAGTAAGTACGAACTATTCAACTGATCTCACTGATAACTAGCACTAAACTTTTCAACTCGTTGCACCTAACTTTTCGAATAAGGATGTGATTTTATGATGCAAGAAAACTCTACCATTATAAGCTTGGGCGTTTCATGGTTTAGATTCATAGGATTCAAAACATCATTCAGGCATGCATGAAAAAGAAAGTGTTACAAAAGTAGAAAACTAAGAATCAAAAGCTATGAACAAAGTTACGACATTCAATTATAAGCTATGCTGCCCACTGTATAAACATCACTAACACATTGTTGGCTTGAGCATTGAGCAAGAAGGTACATACAGTGTAACTGTAACAGGATTCAGATAGGAAACGGACTTACAAGTAGTGTCAATACAGAAACAGCAACAATTACTGAAATTCCCAAGTGATCAATGAGTTTTCTTGCTACAAGGCCACAGAAAACTGCAACAGGGACAACAATGAGGAATACCGTTAACGGAAGAGATCTCACATCGGGTCCAAATATAAGCCTTCCACCAAGTAGAAATCTCTGCAGAATGGAACAGCCAACAACGTGCTTGAGTAAACATAAATGCATTAGCAAAAGAATGCATATGCTGCCACTAATAAGAAAAGAAAGAGAAACCAGAAGAAAAGCTTTTGAGATGTAATCACAAACAGAATCAGCATATATTAAAAAGGGGGAAATCCACAAGAAAGGTTGTCCTCCCTTTATGCTGCACCATGGTCAATTTGCATAAATTAGCGTTCTCCGGATTGTATGGCTAAAAGGTAAACTGGGGTATTTAAGAGGTTTTAGGGGAAAAAGGAAAAAGATAGCTAGATAGTTGATCAACACATCTAGAATCAAATGCCCCAGTAAAAGAGATTGATGATGAAAGGAAGTCTAAAATGGAGAATTAATTGGTTGCCAATGCCCAAGTAGTGATCTAAACTCAAAGCTGAACAATAGAATTGGCCCCAATCCCAAGTGTTCCAAGCAATAACTAAAGCTAATCAGAGTCAATTCAATCACAAAACCAATTGCCATCCCGTCCTCTAAAAGCAATCCCACACCAAATCAATCAACTCAATTCTGTATATTTCAGCATCTTCCAAATTAGAAAAGCTACCATATTTCAATCAAACCCAACAGAAAAACAAAACCCTTTCAATTTTAGCCACTGGGTAAGACCAAGACATAACAAAAGTGAGCAAAATCAAGAAAAAGCAAACATCTTTCTAGCCTATACGATACTTTAAATTAAAACCAAAGTAAGAATTTAGCTCACATTGCTGCCTTTCCAGGTCTTGTAAGTTCTGACCAGTCCTGCAGCATCGGCAGTTCCGGCAGGGGAGGCCCGGAGGCGGTGATGTGGCTCAGCATTCATTATGTGCCTGTTGGGTTTTTCAGAGAAATGAAATAATTAAAAGTAAGAACCAAAGTCAAAGAAAGGCTATGGTGCTCTAGAGGTGGGTTTGAGAGTTGACTTTTCCTCTCTCATTCATTCTCACGAGCAGCATCCTCTGTAAGACTCTGAATAGTAGGTAAAAATCGAAGAAGCTCATTAGCCATTAGGCGTCAGATTCCGGCAACAGGGCTTAGGTGGCAAGCCGTCACTGTGGTAAAGAGGTAGTAGAACAGGTCAAGTCTTGCAACTACATAGGTACGTACTCAATCATACATACAAATGTTGTAGGACACGTGTATTGTTGATTTTTTTATTTTTTTTTTGGCATTATAATTGGTTTATAATGTTGCTCTGGGGTTGTTTTGGAGACAAAGTCAGTCAGCATGACTTGTCTCTCTATCTGTCAAACATGGGATTTTCTGATGTTTAACTAAACAATAAAAGAATGGAAACTGAAAATGGCAGTTTGTCCAGGTTGGGCTTATGGGCCTAATTTCTTTCTTTATAAAATGTCATTTATGTCTCGTTTGGATGTGGAGATATTTGGATTTGAAAATGCTAAATTTGCTACGAAAACAAGTACGTTAGATTGAATGTATTTGAAATAACCAGACATAGTACATTTGAAATAACTATATGTACAGAATCATTTGAAATTCATTTGTTTTCTTCCTTTATTTGTTGTCCAAATTTTAGCATAATGAATTGTAAATAATATATATACAAACAACTTTGCCTTACAATGTCATCTAAATCTATAAATTTGAAATCCCTCCATTCAAATAGAACCTATATGTCATCTAAATCTATATATTTGGAATCCTTCCATCCAAATAGAACATATTAGTTATTTACTAGTTTTGACGACGGGTGGAAAAATGGTCGATGAGAAATTAGGAATGGAGGGTGAGAAAAGCACATCTTATACACCATTCTGTTGGTGAGTCCTTTGTTTGACACATTCTTCCTTCCTTATTTCCTCAATGTACTTTCTTCAATCTATAGAAAAATAAAAACTAAAACTGAAACGGTCATCAAACGATAATCGATGAGAAATTATTTGCTAATTTCTCAAACGAGAGAGGATGGAATAAAAGATGGACCCGCCCAAATAATTTATTGGGGCTATATCAAATTTTTCCTGGTCCCATACTTTCCTTTTTTGGGACCAAGTAATTTTATTCAACAAAATAAGCAGCAAGACAAGAGGAAAGCTTTGAACTCACAAAAAACCATTTGGGCTATTGGGTTCGCTTAGACTCTGGACTTGGAGCTCTACAGGCTGTCCACGTGGGCCGTCGACACGTTTCATTCTTCTTCAGTGAAAAGACAAAATATACCAAAAAAACCAAAAATTAAAAAAAGAGGTCCTACCGGGAGTCGAACCCAGGTCGCTGGATTCAAAGTCCAGAGTGCTAACCACTACACCATAGAACCAACACGTCAATATCTGCTGAAACAACTTATTTACTATCTCCACTACCACTAATTTTTTAATGTTATTTTTTTAATGCGATGGTGCTATGGTAAGGGTAAGGATAAATAAGGGGAGACACTATTCACGTAAATAGTGACTGTCCTAACAATTTTTTTGATGTATTCCCACCTATTGTCATGGCAACCCAAAGGTAACCATCATTCACATGGGATATGAGGAGATGAATTTGTATTGATTTTGGTGTGGGAAGTGAAGAACCTGGCTAGGTATTTATAGAAAAAAAATTCTGAATTTTTTGGTATTTTTTCCTTATTTTTATTTTTATTATTTTGGTATTTAAATTAGTGCACGATGTCACATTTGACATCAGCATGAAGTCAACTTGCCCAAGCAGCAGCCCAAGCAAGTTTTGTCTTTGGGCTTACCCAGTTTCATGGCCAACTTCTTGCCATGACAATTTTCCTTTGGTGGAGGTTGTTTTTGGAGCATAACCCTCCATTTGACATGGCAAAAGGGATGGGGTGGAAGTGCTCTTAAAGGTAAAAATTTAGGTGAAGTCTTAGAATTGGATTTACTTTGGTATAGTTTCCCTTATTGCAACCTATAGGGAAATACTTGTCACTTTCCTCAGTAAGTACTAATTCCTACTCTCTTGCCAATCACATGAAGACATGTATGCAGAAATCTGTTTTTGTACATTTTGATTAATTATTTTTATATATGCATCGAACTATGATTTACTTGAAAGAGGAATGTCTCATTACAAAAAAGGAGGCAATCAGTGTTTAGTATCCACGAATTAATGACCCCATTACTTTTGTCTCTTAAGAATAAAGGGTACATAGTATATAGATAAGGCTGGCTTTGCAGCTAGATATTCAATATAAATCAATTCAATAATGAAAATCGGTGATTGACATGATGATTTATATGATTATATCAAGTTCATAGCTAAGCTAAGGCAGAGGGAAAGGCAAATTGAGAGGATAAGAGATCGTCAAGGTTGGCGGTTGGTATATGATTTTATATAGTGGAAATGTATATGCTCCGTCCAATTATTTGCCCTAAAAAAGTGAGTGGGATCTCTTACGACATAGGCGCATCCATCTCTGATAACTCTTGAGCAACCAAGAAGAAAAGATAATAGATAATGCATGCCGATATCTTGCACCCCATAAAACAAAACACATAGAAATTTTATCAGACAATATCTAGAACAGCGTTTTGATCCATAAATCATGTAATAGTTTCTTTCTTCTTTTGTTTTTTGGTGATGATGTTCATCAGCAAATACCTCTTCACGGCTCCTTTGGACCCTCAAATTTTGTTGGAACACACCTCATTGCGCACATTATCTCAAATACCAGTCTTAAAATTTGAACAAAAAAAGAAAAAAGCTTTTCTTCCATGGAGACAAAGATAGGTGGTACCAATTAATATTACACTTTCAGAATGAAAACCATGGATATTATCAGAATTGGATAGCATTCGAACCCTTAATTCATTAAATATACAATTGATATGATTACTTTTTGTTGGATGACGGTGTTATGATATGAATCTTTTAATGATTTTAGTGGAATTCTTGGAGGTGTCCCGATGTTTGGTATAGTTTGTTGGCCGCAGGTGTCTTGTTTTTACCATACAAATTAGTGCAAAAATGACGGCGAAAGAAACAAAAGCCAAGATCAAAGCAATGACTTGCTCTATTAAGTGAATATAAATTATGGGTAAAAAAACAAGATACATTTATTTTTTTCAAGCTTTTATCTGTTTTTAATTATTCTAAATTTGTAATCTTAGTTGAGATGTCTATGTCAAAGCTTCTTTGATCATGCATGATCGTTAATGGAGACGCACCAGATTGTCTTAATTTTTATGTTAGACCACTCCGTTATTATAATGGTCCTTTTTTGGCTAGTTTGTATTGACTTTTTGTGGTTAGTGACTTTTATTGGTTGAATTATGAATGCAATCATATAATTGCTCAACAACAAAAAAACAAAATACCCACCTATATTAAAGAGGTGATCATCAATGTAGTACAAATAACATCACACCGAAGAAAAGATGAAGGAAGAATTGCATATATGGTTTTAGTCAAACGCAAAGTCAAGATACCTCTCATTCAAAACCAAACGCAGCCGGTAAAAGCAACTTTTTCTAGATTTCACCGAACCTATAATTATATTATAATTCGGAATGAAAAAGGTTCTGATTAACATAATCATCTAACATTAATGTGAATTTTTTTTTCTGGGTCTACTTTGATTCATGTAGAGAAGCTCTTGCCACGTCGACGTGTCCAGCTGGCTTGCGTATCAAACTCAGAATTTCAGAGAGACTGGAATTGCTCTTGCTAAATCTGGATATAATTAATAATTAATTCATCAATAATCATATTGGAAAGAACACATGCATGATTAGAAACCAGCTGTTTCCCTACAAACAATACAACTATGAATTCTCAGATTGATTAATTTATAATTAGGTGAAAAACCACTAGGTAGAGGCCTAGACTGTTTTGCTTAATCATTCAGAAATATTATACGCAATGCCAAATTGCCAATGCAATCAAATCAATGGAGTTTTGGGGGCAGTATTTGGGGAATATTAGCTAGACCTGAATCCTCCTGATACATGCATGCAGTGCAGAGGTGATAAGGGTTTCACAGGTGGCAAATTTAAAGAACGAATTGCATCATCAATTAGCTACTAAGTAAGGTTTATCTGTGACGTTAAACCCCTTTTTGCTTTGATAACATGATTTAGAAATGTTAATTGTATGACGAATGCCCACGTATCAATTCCAATTCTTCAAAAGCAGAAAATAAATAAACAAGTGGCCCCAGCCTATATTATGTCACCCCCCATTTTGCTTTGAATGAAATTATTTCTGAGAAAAGAAAATTTGTGATTGTCATGGATCATGTGACCGTGTCAACGCCCCTAATCCTATGCTGCAGGGGCGGAGCCATGAAAGGACCATATTGGTCCCATGCCCCCCTCCATCTTTTTACCCCTTATATTTATATATTATATAATATATTAGATTGTTTTGGGATATTCTTCTCTCCATTGAAATGTAAATTAGTAACTTTTGAGTCTTCAATAGTGTACATAATGAGATTAATATTCAACTATTTTAAAATATGAAATTCATGACAATTATGATTGTAATGAATGGATAAATTATTAAGTAATATGAAATGATATTATGAAGTGGGCTAAACCAAGTAGTTAGTATTGTATTAACTTATTAACTGGGTAGCGCTTTAGTGCTCCTATTCGAATTATTTTTTCTAAAATTTTGTAAAGGGCTCCTCTAATGTAAAATCCTGACTCCGCCAAAGCTTATAGTATAGGCATATGTACTCACTTGAAAATAAAATTGCAAGTTTAAGCATTTAATTTGTTCAACTAATTTGACTAACTTATAATAGTTTGTTAATGCTTTTCCCTTTTCACCTTGGTTGCTAGCTTCTACTTGTCTTGTTATGCTTTTTATTACTATGTCATATTTATTTTTTTCTTCTATTATATTCCTTGTATTATTATATACTAGTTTTTTCATCACTCATCATATAGTATCTTATATTATACATTAGTTATAAAATAAAGTTTTGTCAATTTTCTTTTTCACAAGTTACTTAGATGAAAAATATATATTTACATGCGGATGGCATTTTAGTAATCAAATTAGTTTAGGTTCTGATTCATGGGAATTAGTAAACAATAAAAATATGAATCAACTCCATTCATGTGCTTATTTCATATGATTAGTAAAATAGCTTAATTGGAATAATTCTTCTCATTCCGATTCACTACTTCCCCGAT